TCTGCGGGACAGAGGACGCCAGGCCGGGGAGACCGTCCGTCCCCCCCCTCCCCCTTCCTCGCCGGGCAAAGGCGCTCGCTTGCCTGCCTGCCTCTTTCACTGTCTTTCTCTCACTCACACACACAAACCCTGCTCGCGCCGCCCCCTCCAAGCGGAAGTCCCGGCTCCGAGCCGCCATTGGCTTCCGTTGGGCAGGAGGTGGAGAGCTCGCTGCCGCTCATAGAATGGATTGGTCCCAGGAGTTGTCTGTCCGAGACCAGAGTATAGGAAGTTCAGACAGCAGGCGTCAAGGCAGGTATTAGGAAGTCCTTTTTTTCTAAGCATTTACTGTATTTAGCTTCCGAATAAAAGCGCGTAGGGTTGCCATGTACAGTAGTAGTGAAAAGATTGTCTTCTGGCGTCGTAACGGCGGATATTTTACTCTGGTCAACCTGCCACATTAGGGTGAAGTGGTCTCTAGCGGAAGAAAGCAAATGCCTGAAACTCCGCGTCTTCCCAGCTACACAGATCACGGCGATTCAGTCTCTGGTTTCCACTGAACACTGAACTTTGGGGGGGGGGGCTGGTCACATGGTGTCAGCTGAATCTACCTCACAGGGTTGTTGTGTGGGATGGGGAGGACGACGGCCGTGATCCCACTGAAAGAAAGGCAGGATATAAATGTAACAAATACTACGTGCATATGTGTATGAGAACACAATCCTGTATGTGCCACCTGTCTAAGGGTCAGAATGTTTGTGTTATAACTGACGCTATCACTGCTACATTCCTTTGATTCCGTTTAACTCTCAGGATCAGCATCACACCCCCAAACTTTGTATGTGCACCATGTGTATATCTGAGCCTCAGTGGTTATATTCCAGGTGTTTGAAAAAGTGCTACATGGCCCCATGTTGCCACAGTTCTATTTGTCTTCCAGGTACTGCTGGATTTCGTCATACTTCTTGCTGCAGTAGACTTCAGACCACTTTGTACCCTCGGATCTGGGGAAAGACAGAAAGAAAACAGGAAAGAAAGCTGAAGTGGATGACTCTTAGGAAACCTGTTACAGAAAGAAAGTGCATATGATTAATGACGGGGAGAGTAACAAGAATTGGTGCCCCTGTTGGGGATTATATGGGGGGTGGGGAGAAATTGTTTTGATTGATTTTATTCATGGTGATCCATTGTCATGATGCTACAGCATGTGTCTTTTGTACATGATTGAGAGATTAAATTTTGGTTGGACATGCAGAACTTGTTGATCATGTTTATTCCTAAGACACATGTAATTGTGAAGACTGTGTAGTTCCACCTCTGTGCTTTATAAGCAAGATATTTTAATTGTATTTTAATCATTTTATTTTTTATGGAATTTTAATTGAATTTTAATTGTTGTAAGCCGCCCAGAGACCTTTGGGTAGAGTGGGCGGCATATAAGTTAAATATGCCTCCATATCATCACCTTCTATTTGCTATGAGGTGATGGGACCAGTGGCCATGATCTTAGTTACATGATCTTAGTTTTTTTGATGTTAAGGTTCAGACCGTTTTTTGCGCCCTACTCTTTCACCCTCCTTAAGAGGTTCTTTAATTCCTCCTCACTTTCTGCCATTAGTGGCATCGTCTGCATATCTGAGATTATTGATATTTCTTCCGGCAATCTTAATTCGGGTTTGGGATTCCTCCAGTCCAGCCTCTCACATGTATTCTGCATATAAATTAAATAAGCCAGGGGACAATATACACCCTTGTTCTCCTTTCCCAATTTTGAACCAATTAGCTGTTCCAGATCCAGTTCTAACTGTTGCTTCTTGTCCCACATACTGTATAGATTTCTCAGGAGATAGATAAGGTGGTTAGGCACTCCCATTTCTTTTAACAGCTTGCCATAGTTTGCTGTGGGTCCACACAGTCAAAGGCTTTTGCATAGTCAATGAAGCAGAAGTAGATGTTTTTCTGGACCTCTCTGTCTTTCTCCATAATCCAGTGCATGTTAGCAATTTGGTCTCTAGTTCCTCTGCCCCTCCCAGCTTGTACTTCTTGGAGTTCTCAGTCCATATACTGCTGAAGCCTGCCTTGGAGGATTTTAAGCATAACCTTGCTAGCATGTGAAATGAGTGCAATTGTACAGTGCAGGAGTTGGAGCATTCTTCGGCACTGCCCTTTTTTGGGATTGGGATGTAGACTGATCTTTTCCAATACTCTGGCCACTGTTGAGTTTTCCAGACTTGCTGGCATATTGCGTAGCACCTTAACAGTGTCCAGATAATACAAGAGTTAGATCGGCACGAAGATCAAAGTTTGAAATTTGTATGAATAAAGTGTTAAAATGGGTGTATGAGTTGTAATCCTGGAAATGTGTGATGTGATCATAAAATGGAGTTTTGAACAGCTATGTACTGTATGCCTGTTGGAGGTTATTTCGGGGCAAACAGTTAATTTCACTTGGCTGGCAAAAAACAGGTGAAAAGCTATTGACTCCACAAGACTAGCAAAGCAGATTGTAGTCCAATAGACTTTCAACCCTGACAGAACCCATTGAGATTGTTTCCCCAGTAGAGTATTGGTCCAAACACTGAAGTCTTGGCACTAGGGTTTGCAATAACTGAAACTCTTTGTCCTTTTATTTATTTGAAATTAAACTTTCTGCATTATTAAGGGGGAGTCTCAAAGGTATCATTTATAGCAAAGTGACTACCTTTATTGTTCTGCAGTATATCATTTGTGTGTTCATGCAAACTACTTGGACTCCTGATTGAAGTACACCCCATCTGGAAATAAAGTCTTTGTCAAGATAAGGTTCTCATCAATATTTTGACCTAGGTGCAAGACCAGAGGCCCTCAAAGATATCTAATCCTAACCCTAACCTTCTAATTATAGGTGAACCAGGAGCAATTTGGTCCAAGGTTACATTTAGCTTGTACTTGTAACATGAGCAAAATTTCTCATTAGATTAGTTGAATCTTAGCCATGATTTCTAATTAAAACAAAACTTGGATGTATGATTAAAAAAAACTTTCATGCCTTGTTATCCTTTGATCTCTCATCTTTCTCCTGTCATTAACATTGCAGGAGCTATCCCGTTCATACAAATCAAACATGAATAAAAATACAACAGGAGACCTGCTGGATCAGAACACCAAGCTATCTTCATTCAGTATTCTCTTTTCCCATGCTTGCCAAGCAGATGATTCTGGGAAGCCCACAGAGCAAGATTTGCTTCCGCTCCAGAAGTAAAAAGCTAAGATGTTGTACCACTTGGAACAATGTGCGAACAGCAATTAGAGCCATGAAGACACAGCCAACACTGGGAAGACACTGCATTTCATACTTATTAGAACAAACTAGCCAAATATTTAGCTGCAGCCATTTTGTTTAATTGTGAGAGCAAACAATCTCCTTCAGCAGCAGATGTCAGTGCAATTCTCTACGTTTCAGCTAGGTCGAGCCTCTCCCCTTTCTGGAATGTCATTTTTATTCTAATAACAGAAGTGTGTATTTGCTGTGTGAGAATGGGCCTTTGCCTTCTTGCCAATTCTGACTTTAGTAGGTGGAAATACAATGTAGAACTACACAAAACAATAAAATAATAAAATTGTTAGCACATCTGGAAAGATGTTGATAAAAGCTGCAATGCTAAGAGGTCCACCATGTGACTTTTAATGTCAAGCATAGTTTGGATACCTCATTTAAACAAATACTATAGTGTCAACTGGACTCAGAACAGTTATTTCCATAATGACAGAGGTTTCTCTTCAAAATCAAGGTTGCTCTGCTTCATGAAACTTATGTCATGGATTAGTGATCTAATCCAAGTAATAATTCAAAAAATAAGGTCAGTTTCGTCTGATTTACTTCAGGGGAAGGCAATGCAAACACTGAACAGTTTGTACTTTTACAAAACTTCAGTATCTTCCAATGAGGGACAGTGTATAAAATGAACACTGTTCTATATTATGTAGCAAAGAAAAACAGGCATAGACATATATGTACAGCAAAAGGGAATTTTACCTGATGCCAAAATATACTTGCTTTTGTACATTTATAAATGATGGGATTGGCTGAGGAGGAATTTCCTTAATCATGCATGCAGTTTGGTTTCAACTTTGAATTTCATGGTTTGAAAAGCTTGACAAGGGGGAAGAAAACACCCTTTAATTTCATCTTGGTCTCTTCTACCATAGCCTTTCAGAAAATACAGTTATGGCATAAAGTAAAAGGATCATTGTAGAGGAAACTAGTTGCTCATTTTCAACATACACTGCAGACTAAATAGACTT